TGCTATAAAATAATATCATGATGATAGTGACCATAACAAACCCGATAATGTGACCTTACCTGGCATGGCCACTCCTACCTACCTCTCTTTCTTCATGCAATACAAAACTATCTTCGATTGAAATGGCTAGTAAACTCTGAAAAAAAAGTAGAACAAGAAATCTCAACCCCCCTTTCCCTTTTCTTTATCACTCCTAGGCACGCCTCCCAAGGGCTGAGGATAACGACCCTTTCTTGTACGAAGCCACAAGATCGTCATACCCGCCCAGGTACTTTCCCTTCACAAAGAGCTGGGGCACCGTATGCACGCCTGTAAGGGCCACTACTTCTCGAAAAATTTGTAGACCCTGCGGCACGAGGTCTATTTCAACCGAAACGAAGCGGCACTTCAACTCAATCAGTAGTTTCTTGACCTGTGTGGAAAATTGGCAGTAAGTGGCGGAGATGAGAACAATCGAGTTACGGCGTAAAAGATCGTCTAAGAACTGTCTGGCATGGGATGAATCGGACACCGCACTCATATTTTTTCACCTTTTCCTTTCTTCTCCGATGCTATGTTACTAAAATGTGAAACAAAGAGGGAAAAGAGGACTAGAAAAGGAACATAACCCCGCCCCTCTAAAAATAATGCTTCTCTATATGTATTTTTTATCATTATCTGTCGCTAATTTTAGTCACATTTTAAAGGATAAAATCTTTAAAATGTACAGAGATGGCTTGCTTTCCCATGCGTATGTGTGCACTGGTGTGCGTGCAAACATATAAAGATGATAAAGGTACTGTGTGTAGGTGCTACTAATCATCATAATATTATGAGCCCGTGCAGAATGAGTCCGATAACGTGTTCAAAGTGAACTTATCCGCGATAGTGATAGACATCTGAGTTAATCTAAACGTGGGGCTCCCCAAAGGCGGTAACTGGTTTCCACTTTGAAGAGCAAATTCAGAGATTTTGAGTGTATTACTATGCACAGATGAGGACAAAAACAGTGAAGTTGAACACTTTTTTTTGCTTATACAGCATCATGTCATTTTTCAAGTTTTCTGTGCTTGGTTCTACACCAACCGATTTGCGTTGAGGCGTGTATGTAGGGTGCGAGTCCGTCGATTCACACTCAGTATGCTGTAAACAAACACTGGGGTCGATGATATTGTCATGATAAAGTATTATTTGAGCAGTCGCGTCTTCATGAACATTTTTTTTTACTATTAAGTGATTGTCCTCTATACCTGTTCCTCCCTTCTTTCCAAATTCAGTTCATGGTCTTCATGCAGTGAAGAAGAATAAGCATCATCCTCCTTCATTTTCGGCACTTCAGAGATGTCAGCAGCGAGGCATGACGGCAAATGTGAAGTGTTTTCTATTAGATTATTCGGCTTATCGTTCGACTGGGATAATTCTGGCAATAACTTCTCCCACAAAGGCTGATCGAGAATTGAGGAAGAGTCTACCAAATCAGCCTTCTCAACATCGTGAATGGAAGAGTCCGGCCTATGTTTGTGTCTTTTTTTGTCATGATGTTTTTTATCATGATTATGTGTGTGAGGCTCTACAGGTAAAGATTCACCACCACTGAGTTCTTTAGACATGAAAGGGATGGACTCGAACGTTTCCAAACGTGTTTTTTTATTAGAACGTTTTATAGAAGCCTTTTCGCTTTCGACATAATCTAATGTAGGATTGTTTTCGGAATAATGAAATGTTTCTCCTTCATAATTCGGATTTTTCTGCACTATTTCGCTCTCTTCTTGTGGAACTTCCGATGTCGGCGCTTGCATGATCTTTGATCTATGACTGGTTCCATTTGCTATCCAGTAGTCTTTGCCATCTTCTACATAAAAAGATCCAGTAGGGAGTCCTTCCTGGGAACACAACACAAAAAAACAGGAAGAATCACCTTCGGGGACTTTGTTTTGTGGGATATGTTCAAGGCTTTGTGTATCGTCAAGTAAAATACTAGATTCCTCTACCTGTTGTACAAGGTAATAATTAGATTTGCCAAATAGAATCTGAAGATTAACTACACCGGTTGTGATGGCTGGTCGCCCACAGAAGCGAATACGCACTGGTTTTGGCGGTGGTAAGTCGAGATCCATTTGTGTTAATCTTTTTGTACTATACCAGTTTGCTTATTTTTATCGTTTAAGAAATATCAAGTTAGTAATTACCCTCTACTTTCTAAAAAATATTAAAAAAATCCTAGATTGTATTTGGTTGATGTACACTCATAAAAAAAGGAGATCAAATGTAAAGGGTTTCTCTCCTTCTCAAGCTTACTTTGAAGAGAATATGTGCACGCGTAAAGAAGCATTATTATTGTCTCCAGTTCAACACGGAACTAGCGTTTAACAATATATTTACGTTACTATTCTTAATATTTTGGTAGAGATTTTCTTTCATAGACAAGCGATAACTATAGAAACTCTCTCTTCTCACAAACAGATATTTATATTCTCATGCGTTCACGCAAGACTGGAAGGAACACATAAGAAAAAGCTCTCAGTCAACGGTTTTCTACGTGTCGTTCAGTGAAACACTATCAGTCGTTTTGTTAGGAAATATTAGTATTTGTTGCATCAGGGAGCCATCAAAAAACAATCACACGCATACACACATACACATTCACGCAAGAGTTGAAAGAACCTTATATTAATAACTAATATATATATATTTATTTATTTTAGCAGATCAGAGGGAATAAAAATTCATGTTCTGTGAAAAACAAAAATGACACCATTTTATTTCATGATTATTAATTTCACACTTTCAGGTTTTTTTTTTGAGCAACCTTTAAATATTCATATACGCAATACAATATAATAATCCTGAAATTGAGTTCATAACCTTAATCATACTCGGCCCTTTTTGAGAACAGTACGCACCTCACAAAAGACAAGGGAAATAATAAGATAAATTATATTAAAGTACTAATTGAAATGATAATAATTACGATAAATAATCAAATTCATTTCACTAGATACAACAAGAGCACGCCAACATAACATTGGTGAAAAATATAGTTGATGTGCCTGCTTAGAGTGAAACATTTATTATATATATATATCCCTTTTCAGTGCATTTATAACACAAGGCCAATAAGTGTAAGAGATCAAGTTTGTGCGTTCAGTAATATCTTATGGATTTAGTAGACTTGCGTTACCAAAATAGATTCATAATATTTTTTTTAGGTGAACATCTATGCCAAAAAGAACTTTGTAACAATTGACAAAACCACCAACGGAATTATCCAGTCTGTGTAGGAGTTGTCTCATGTGTTGCCTCTTCATTAGGATAAATTGTCATACTATAAGAGCTCTCAAATACAAAAAAGTATTACACCGTATTGTTTATGAACTATTTGTCATCTTTTACACCACCAGCATGCAAATTTAACTCTACAGAGTAACTACAATCTTTATAATGAAGTTCATGTTCCTCACTACGTAGAGAACTGCCATTGTAAAATGGTCATGCCTATTATACATTTAGGCACCAAAAATATTGTCTGCTAATAATTGTATAACTTTTACCCTGCCCACACCCTCGCAATTCAAGTAGAAACAATATGACCAATATCATTCCTAAGATCATATTGACGGTTACGAAATCGTAAATTCACTACACAGACATCTAAGCCAGATACAGAAACAGGAAACATGGAAAAATGGTAAAAAAAATTCCATCATCCACTCCTCAATTGCATATGAAAGAACAACAAAAGAATCCTTCAAATCTTTGTGTATGGGATCACCCAACGCTCATCCAAGCATCCGGTAGGTGTCGCCATAATCGTTTCTCCTCGATTTCCATCTTCATTACCTTCTCCGTCCATGAACCCTGGTTAGAATCCGCGCTGAAGCGAGTTAATACATGGTTAATTTTCTTAGGCGTACTGATAGCATAATTTTGCGTTTTGAAGCGATAGACACCCGGATAATCGATTAAATCTCTATCCCTCTCCAAGGAGAGGGATGCAGTTGGGTTCTCAAGAGATGTAGCTGAATTCCTAGGTCTAGAGAGATGATCTAAGTCTCGTAGGGTTTGAACGAACTTGTGCACCACAGCTGCGTCCACCATTATGCTGAAATCGGGTGAAGTACTACCAAACGATTCCATCGAAAACGTTATCGGCCTGCCTCCTGGTGAATATGTTTCACCAAGAAAAGCATCCGCAGTGGGTCGGGAAGGTGCAGAAAGCCTCGCCAAAAAAGAACCAAGATAGCTTTCCTTTGTTGAGCTCGTCACTGAATTTCCCATACTTCCTGAAGCGTTTTGTTCTATTGATTCTCTTGCTGTACGGCCCATAAGTTGAAGTTGTGATAAAATCATCTGCAAAGCTACACGCCGCTGGTCTATTGTATCCGTACGCTCATTTTCATCTTGATATGAAAGCGTATCGTGAATATTGAAAGCAACATCTGAGTTGGAAATGCCACTCCTGCTCCTACGAAAAGACTGCTGCTGCGGATGCACGTTCCAGCAGGGGTCTGCTAGCAAGTGGTCCACCAAAGGAACCGCTAGACGAAACGATTCATCGGTCTCCGCGCGGTGCCGCGCCACAGTCTGAATGGTATGCATTTCTTCTTCGGAGAAAGCGGTCGAGGGTAATCCTTCAAAAACCTTCGACGCCTCATTTTGCCGTACTCGCAGCAAAACAAAAGTCACCTCAGCCGCCATAGACGCGGTTGCTTCATTGCAGAGGCAACGAACAAGGGCCTTCACTGTAAATGGACCACAACGCACGCCCTTCTCCTGCGCAAAGATCTGTAGCGCCAACCGAAGCGTCCGCAGCGCCGGTAAAATCAAAAAACCTGTCGGCCCTGACAACGATGATCCCTCAGGGCGTCCGACCGCGCGTGAAAAAAGCTCCCATTTCGTCGTGTGTTGAAGAGTCAGTGTGTAGTGGACGAACATGGCATGGAGCGCGACCGTCGCCGCGTTGTAGATCCTAGACAGGCCCCGACAAAGCCGTTGACGGATGATCAGACCTTTGGCGAGATGAGGCGTGACGGCCCCTTCCCGGATTGCTGCCGGGCTTAGAGAAGGGGTTTGCATCATCGCAAAGACCTCAGGGTCAAACGCGAGCCCGCGCTCCGCCAGGTGAACGGCACCCGCAAGCGCCTCTTCGATTTTCCCCGCCGCCGTACAAACGTACACCCAAGCCGAACGCACCGCCGCGTTGATCGGCTGCTGCTGTTCGATTCGTCGAAAGAGGAGCGTGGCGCTGGTGAAGTAATGCCGATCGAGGATGCAATAGTATGCCGCCATGCCCAATAAATTTCGGAGGGTCTTCGAAGACAGTGCAAAGTGCTCCATCGGTGGGCGTTGTAAGGAGGAAAAGGTCAAGGCCTTCATCATGTCCTCGTAGACCACGTGTGGCATCGGGGCCTCGTGACAAAAGGGCAAGGCCTCCAACAGGAAGAAAAAGCCGTGTGTCATGATCACCTGCAGGACCGTGTGGTAAGGCCGCCAGCGCGTGATCGCCTCCAGCGCGAGGTGGGGTGCGGTTTCCCACAGAACCTCCTTTTGGGGTAAGAGGCTTTGGTGCGAGGCCGCCGTCTCGATCGCGGGTAAGGCGTCTTGCAGCCACGCCTTGGAAAAGGCACCCAGGCGTTCGGCCTCGAATTCGGTCGTCCGGGGAATGCCATCCGGTGGGTCCGGCAAGGGCGGCGGCCGGAACGGCATGGATGAAAAAGAGGCCTCACTGCTTGGATGGTCGAGAGTCATGTCAGGCTCTCCGTGGCTGATACCCTGACTAGAGCTGGAAGCGTCGCGATGCAGTATGAGTATAGAAGGAATCTGTGTGGATCGCAACCGTAGTCGCCTAATAAACCCTACTTTATGTATCCATGGCATTATGGATATCTAAAAACTGAACCTCGAAGATGAAAGGAAGAACATGTACAAGATTACCCAGATAAAGTAAATGAGGGGGAAAAAAGCAAAGAAAAAATAATAAATATGAAAAAATAAATAAAAGAAACCACATTGTTCAAATAACAACATATAAATTTATTTCCTTTTACATAACCACATTAAATATTATTGAATATATAAATAATTATCAACTCATTTATATGGAAAAAAGAATTTCAAATATCTATCAATATAATGATATATGTGAAATTCACTTTAAAAGTCCTTTGCTTACTTCCCACAGCTTAATCTTTAATTATGCAATATGTTGGTAAAATAAAATGATCCAGTTAGTTTAGAACTACATAAGGATATGCTTGGTCAATTCTTTCCAGACTGAAATTAACTGATGTACAGGAAAATATACCTAAAAAATTCTCTGTAACTATCAAAGCACGCAAAAATGATAATCTAAATAATTTATTTAAAAAAATAGAATTTACATTCTTGAAGTCAGTCTTCCGTTTAAAACCCTAGATTTAGAACTACCAATTGATTATTTCATCCGGAGTTGGAGATTCCGTACGTACCTTAAGCATCAGAAGTTCCCACCAGGAAGTCGTCTTTAAAGACCTCATAGTGTTGGGGACAAAGACGAAAAGCGTCGGAATAGATTGGAGCTTGATCACCTTGTGGCGGCGCAGTGGGTAGTCGGGGTTCCGCAAATAACTGCTTCGCTCAACAGGTACCTCCACAAATACAAGTTTTTTCCTCCCAAACCTATCGCATAGCTTGTTGAACCCTTCAATAACACTTGGTTTGGCGCTAATACAATCTATACACCAACTCTCATTTCCCACGTAAGGGCTAGCCGTCCCGGTGCAATACATCACGAGTGATTCTCCATTTGTTTCCACGAATCGCCGTGCGATGTGTTCCATCTTCTCATCTAACTCCTGAGGAAATGGTATAGAATAGATTTTTGTGCAGTCAGGGGTTTTTGGGTCGTCGCATGAGGGGCCCAATGTGGTGAGTCGGGGTTTCTGTAGTGAGGCTAAGTACTGCATATGGGGCTCGGTCGCGGTCCCGTCGTAGCGGTTTAAGGCGATCCACCTCGGGTTTTTCTTGAAGAGGCGGACAGCCATGATATAGTTGCTGAACGTTGTGGTGAAACGGTGGAAGCTTCCCGCAGGCAAAATGATGCAATCACCGGTCTTACAAAACATGCGAATCCAGCGGTTATCGGGATCACGAATGTCGAAGTACCCTTCCCCATCGATAATAAAGCGAATCTCATCGTCTGCGTGCGCATGCTCACTAAAGTGTTTTTCAGCTAACGCGTCAAATGAGTCACCCATGATATCTTCTGAGATTGTTATGACATCGTATGCGTAATAGCCCATTTCCTTTACCATTGCTTCGGCAAAAAATTCAACATTGTCGATTACGTCCACAATTTCATGGGTCATATAAAAAATCATTAGGTTAGAGAGTGTTTCGTAGGAACACGGCTCATTTGGACTAAGGCGCTTTTCTCCACAGCGATTTTCGATATCGTCATGAATATACCAGCATTCGGACATAATAAATAATAGGGACACACACAAAAAAACCTCTTATATTACTTCTGAAACGATGATTGTGAAAAATTATATCACATCTAAAGACCGAAAGTGATACTTATAATTTAAGGGGGGAAAAGGATATATAAAAGGAAATTTTACCCATTATGGTAACCATAACACTGTGTATTCACTACGTTTATGAAAATACTTTCCACAAGAGACACAGCATATTCATTATCTCAACAATAATTATGTATACAGAAATTTCAAATCACCAAAAGGAAAAAATTATACAATAGTACAGAGTTAACCGATCAGCTATACTTTCCATTGTGCACTGTCAGCAAATAAAATAATAATAATATGCAAAAATACAATTTCTTGGTTAAATGGTTAGGAAAATAGCTATATAAGTGATAAAATTGCATATATAAACTATTCAAATGTGTACACTGGAAGATTAACAAAATTATTTAAACTACAATATAGAAAATATATCCTTCAACCTCTTTTTAGAATTGTTGTAAGATGGTTCAGGATGGGGAAAACAACCAAGAAAAGGAAAGTGACATTAAAGTTTTAAAGAACAACAAGTATTTAGGCAATTAAATTGTTGAAAGCATTGTTACATTCACTGCTACACAACACTTAGATTCACCTCTCTTCTTGACCCTTTTTGGGGGGATAAAAGCATCTATTCCGATATCAATTCATATGTTGTTTACATTTAAAAATCCAAAGGAATAAAAGCTTGGGAATAAGAAAAGTGAAACTGGAAAAAAAAGGTTCATCTGTTGGAGAATGTTTAAGCCATTTGTACAAGTATTCCAAACAGATTCGTACACACATGCCAAGGCTATATTATTCAATTATGTTATTTAAAATTTCACAAGGGTAAAGTTAGCTCCGCTATAATAAACTAAGGGCAATAGATAAATAAAAAAAGGGATATGGAAGCACTGACTACTCCTCCCTCCATAAATTAATAGACAAGGAAAAAACAGGGAAAAGTGGTTATAGGGATATATGTATATATTTACTAACTGATGAGAAAAAGGGATTCATTTATGTGAAAACAATGTCTTTCAGCGATTTTATTTCTGTAAAGGTTTATATTATTTATACCGATACATCAATAAAATATGAATCCACCTTTTTTTCTCACCTTGTAATACCAGCATGGCGCTGTAATGGAGCTGCACCGCCGTCATAAAGGACGAAACCCGATGAGAAGCTGGGATTCTGATCAACAGCATTTTTGTCAATAAGAACCAATTCAAGTTTTTAGTATAAGCCTTATACTTTTTGAGTGCCAGCATCATCGGATACGAATAACGGGGAAGAATTCAGTGAGAGTGATAACTTTTCTTCAAATGCATTGCCTCTTGAACCGATTCCTACCACCCGATCGCCGCCCATCTGCTGTGCTAAACGTGCGTTATTCAAAGAGTACGACGAAGAGACACCAGGATTGCTTCCTGCATTATTAGCACTCATTATGCTTTCGTTTACCTGTTGAAGAGCGTTCGTCACGTTTGTCATCCATTCAACGTTCCATGAGACCGGATGCTCCAGCAATTCCTCAATCGTCATCCGCTTGGCGGGATCACGATGAAATAACGACTCTAGAAGTTCCACCAAAGAACGAGGGAGGGAGACCATTTGCGTACTGATAATCGAGTTTTTATTAATACTGATGCAAATGACTGTGCGGGCGACCGTCAGGGTGGAACTTTCCGTGGTGGGGTCGAAGCGACCTTTGTTGGCTGGATGGGGTTGGCGTCTGTCGGAATTACTTGGAAATTCATACAAAAATCGGGTGTGCCGCATCATAAGTGGGACGCCGATGGGGTCTTCGATGGGTAAGGTCGCGGGGAGCTGCGGGGACATACTGCAGCTTCGCGTCATGTAGTCCACCCCCCCTCCATTGCTAGCGCCGAGATGGAAGGGGGAACGTGGCCCCCGGGAGCGTGAAAAATCGTTTGACGGCACCATCGAAGTGACATTCAAGACCTGAGGCTCCGATACGCTGCCGTGGGTGCAGGGAAAAGGGGACTTTTCGGGGGTCGATTTGGGGGTGTTGGGGTTGGTAAAAAGACTCCCCAACTCATCTCGCTCCTTTGCGGCTTGGGTTGATGCCGCACGCACGGCCTCAAGGACACCGCGTGAGGTGGTAGCCGGGGCCACATCTTCCAGACGAGAAAGGGTGAGGTTGGCTATCGTCACGGGCAGGCTCTCGTCCATGCTCAGTGATCCATACAACTCAATGAGGGCTGGAATATGCAATCCGATCACGTGGGCCAGGTCGAGCCCCATGATATCAGCCAACACGCAGCCAAAAGACCACATATCACACGGCTTTCCGTACGGATCGCCCAGGATGACCTCGGGGGCCATGTAGGAAAGTGTGCCCTTCATGTTCGTCAGAGGTCGCTTCTCGTGAACCCTGACAGCCGAGCCGAAGTCGCCAAGCTTGGCAACGTCATTGGTGAACAAAATATTCGCCGGCTTTATATCACGATGGATGATGCCCTGTTTATGAAGATAGGCGATACCGCAGGCAATGTCGTGGATAATCAAAACCGCCTCCTTTGGACCAATAGGTGTCAAACCCGCGACGCTGCTCGTTGGGGGAATACCGCTTTTGCTATTGAGTGGGATGGAACCAAACCCGGTGTGAGGGACTTGAGTAGGAGAAGGTGAATTTAAGTCAGAGGGACCCCGATGGGACGGCAGCGCCGGGGCCCGGATCCTTTGGCTTAGATTCCCATCACAGAGCTCCATAAAAATACAAAAATCGTTGCCGGCAGAGCATGTGTGGGAAAAGGTAATGATATTAGGGTGGTCCAGTGAGCTCAGAAAATGAACCTCACGACTGAGTCGCTATAGCCCTCGTAATGACATATTCTTCAGAAAGACGCGCTTCATAGCCAAGTGACCCTTTGAAGCATATAACACTACCTCAAAAACATCTCCAGCAGAGCCATTGCCAATTCGACGTACAATCTGGTAGGGGTGTATCACTCGAAGCTCCAGCATATCCCGCAGCAAGCGCTTTCGGAAAAAGTAATCCAAGGTTTGTTTCTGCATGTGGCTGTTGGTGAACACTGACAAGATGTCTGGGCTGCGAAAGATGGCGCTTTCAGGGATTTCAGCAGGAAGGGCTAAGCGTGTCCCTCCTGTACGCTTGGGATCGGCACCTTTTGAATGGGAATTATGATCCCTGACGTCGTCCTCCGTGGTAGTTACGTGGTACATCACGACAGTCTGATGAGAGGTGCGCTCTAATAAATACTTCTCAATTTCTGGAGTGACAAGCTTACTATTCCACTCCACAAGAAGTAAATCAAAGCGGTTTATCCCAACTCGCAAGGAACGCAGCATCTTTTCAGGACTTGTAATACACAAGCAGCAGTGCCCGTAGCGGGCAAGCTCCTCCTCGATATCAGGACGATCCTGTGTAGTGTATATCACAAAGTAGAACAGCCTCCCAACCTCTGAATGAGAATCATTCCCTTTTACGCTCGAACCATCTCCATCTTGATTTTTTGGCAAATGAAAGGAATTGGGTTCAAAAGATGATTGGTAATGAGAAAACATACCTCCTGAAAAATCCTCAGAGGACTGTGGCACTCCATCTGGTTTGCAGCCATCAAGATCTTGGCACTGTTTCGTATCAAGCTTCTTGAATTCCTTTCCACCTTCGAAAGACGACTTAGTGCCCAATACGCGGAACATGTTGGGAATACTTTCCGCTAAGGAGTCATTAGGGATGCTTGCAAAACTCAAACTTGGGACGCGCTGTGGTAGTCCTGGTGTAACCATTTCACTATTCTCGAAGGAAACACTTTTCGTTGCTTTTCTTGAACCACTACTACATTGAGATGTTGCGCAAGCACCGGTCGCGTTCTTATTTAAAATGGAAAAGGGAGATGTTAGCTTTGTGTGGAAAGGCCCCTGCAGATCTTCTATGTCGGTTCTTGGCGTCCCCACATCCTCTGGATTCTTTTGCGACAATGGCGTTACATCATTATTTGAGCATTCAAATCCTGTTCTGATGGGAACTAAACCCGCGGTTACACTTGTGGGCAGTTCATATCGTTTTGAAAATCTATTTCCTTTGGATACCTGGGCATCTTTATGCAATGCTTCTTGTGGAAACCTGAGGCTGTCTGTCTTCCCATAATACGTATTTTTTACTTTTGTGTCTCTGTCAAAGGCATCATTGGCCATGTCTTCCTTCGTCAACAGAAGCCCTTCTGTAGCCCGCAGTGTAGGATGCAAGAGAGATGTGGGTTTGGATTCGGGATTTTCTTTTAAGCTCTCACGCTCAGACGCAGACAAACACTCCGCTTGTGAATTTTTCTCAGATGGAATATTCTCTGTGGCGACATTATTCCCACTTTTTAGCACACTAGGAAGTGAAGCCCCTGCGGCTGCAGTAGCAAGTCCTGCCGTAGAAAAATTCGCTGGAGACAACACGGCCTCGCAAGAAATGGGGCTTGTGATGCCATTTTTGCTGTCATTAAGAGACCTAGAGGCTCTAGTATTGCTACCTTCCCTATTGTCGTCAAGCATAAACTGGACTACGGATGATTTACCCCGCGAGGATTCCTGTGTCGATTGGCCCTGACCGCTAGCGCTAAAGCTTCGGAGTCTTTGTCCGAAGCTTCCATCCGAAAGACATTTTTGTTCGAGATCAAACATATGCGGTTCTTTTAGAGGAACAAATGAATGGTTTGTGATTTCCGTGTAATGTGATGGGTTCGGAAGCTTTCCCTGAATGATTTGGTCTCCTTTGACGGTAACATCTTTGGAAAATCTCTTTGGGCATGGCTTTAGAATCACACTCGACTTCCGCTTTTGTCTCAAATAATTTTTTTCATCCTGCTCATGCAGCAGCAAGGTGTCCTCAAGATTTTTTTTAGTCTCTGCTTCCTCGGTCAAAAGGTTGGTAAGCGAAACGCCAAAGGTAAACAGTCCTTTTTGGGAGGACAATTGCACTGTCTCGACGTTATCCAGTAAAGCTAGCCGCTCCTTCGTAATATAGGGAAAACTAAGCGTGGCAGCCGCGGTATCGCGGCATATATTTAAGGAACCATTACAATGAATAAGAAGGTCAATTAATTCTTGTGTAAGGACGCACTCAAGTGGCAAATAGGCAGTCACTTCGGGGGATGGAATCTCCGCAGTCCCAGATCGGGCGGCAGAAATGATAGAAGAAGCGACTCGATTTCGGCTAAAACTAACCTGATCGTGATCGACGCCGTCCGCATCCTCCATAAGATATGAGTCCGGAAGCGCGATAGATACTTGCTCCGTTCCCATTGCCATCGACCCGTTGGACACGCTCGCTGTTTTGCAATCTTTACATTGTGTGATGTTGGGTATAGTCGGTGGTGACATATACGTCGTGCGGAAAGCCTGGTTGATCAGCCTAAACTGTCGCTCCGTTGCCATCTTTGAGTTATCAGGTTGTAAAAATGATTTGTCCACAACAGGAGTGCAATTATTTGTGATATCACCATAGGTTTGGCTCACACGTTCAACCTCAGAGTCCGCAAAGCTTTGGTCATCTTGGGTGGTCTTTCTATCGAATTGTGCATATTTTGCCTCAAGTTGCCTCATCATCTCCTTGACTCGCATTCCATGGAGTACAGTGTTTGGTAGCAGATCCACCACAATGAAGGTGTCTTTAACACTTACAAAGCAATGAACTGGGATTTTAATACCGCACGAATGCTGATAGCGCTGGGCAGACTGTAATAAAAGGATAAATGACAGAAAATTCATGATGAAAGTTTCAGGAACCCGTTTTGAGATACAAACCGTAGCAATACCCTTGAGGGATTGCAATCGTACGCGCAGACTTTTCACCTGTACCGTGTCCGTGGTGCGGGCACGTTGGATCATTGCGGGGCGTGATGAAAAACTCATACTGCTTGTCCTTACCGGCGTATTGTGTTGTAGTTTACAAGAATCCCCACCCTGAACATCGTGAAAGGTACTGGAGGAGAATAATTTCAGGTTTGAGGAATCGAGACTGATAGTTGTGCTATTGTTATGCGTGATTACTTCTCTATTATTGGTTAAGTGCCTCAGGCTACCACTTTGGGGAGACTCGGAACCTCGTTGGAACTTACCCGACTTGTTAGAAGCATTGTCGTGGAGCAAACCGCTATTCCCAGTATCATTTCTCCGGTTGTTGGAAGTCAAAGAATGGGCCTGAGACCCAAAGGAGGGCCGATGTAAACCATCTTCCCTCCTGCTATTCAACGATAAGGCTGAAAATCTTGCATTTAAGCCTGTAAATTTGCTTCTTTCCCTAACCATATGCACCGCAGAAGTATTTTTACCTCTGGATTCTACCACACCAAAGGTTTTCCACGTCTTTGAAATGTCCTTCTCTGTACAATGTCCTCTCTCCGGATCTCTCCAGTGATCCCTGGCACCCTGATTCAGTGGTTCGGTAATTAGGATATTATCCTTCTCTTGTTGAATAATATCAGAGGACTCCGAGCCTGGATTAATGCTTTGGACAGTTAAATTCTGAGTCTTTGATTGCGCTACACGCTTGAAGCAAATGGCCTTCTTCCCTTTCGGTGTTGGTGATGAAGACAAGGCACCAGTTGAGGGATTTGCCTCGATATACCTATCGATATTATCGGTCTCAATCTCTTTGAACCTTCTTTCGGATATGGTGTGGCTGGTTCCACTGCTACTTTCCGAATGGCTAAATATGCTCAAATTCCAGCTTTCAACATGCGGCATCATTCGCTCTGACAGAAATGGGTCTGGGACATGCCAATGAAGTTGATTGCCCTCATTGAGTCGGCACTCGTGCAAATCCCCACGACGCGTCTTTTCAGCTGAAGAACCACTTTGTTTGTGTTTTTTCTGCTCTTGTGGTGATGTCGAGAGAATTTCTCTCGACAAATTTTTTTCAAACGACGATTTTGTCCTTCGCTTAGGGGGTGAACCCATCAAGCTTTTACGAGAAAGCGTGTATAGTTGACCTTGTGGCTTACTCACATTTACTTCATAAACTTTAGAATTACTAATAGTGTGGAGTCGGATTGGACTTTTTCTGAGGTTCACCTCATTGTAGCCCCTGGTTTTTGAATTTTCTACCATTGCGTCTGGATTCAACTCCATGTCTGTACCAACGCCGTTTCGGCGCTCGGTGTCCTTAGTACCTTGAGAGGGAGGAACTGAAAAGGTTGAATAAGTAAGAAAAGACGGCTCAGACTTAGTATTGCGAATAAACCGTTCCACAGAGGTCGACGGGACGGGAGTGGATAAGGCGGCATGATCTACTTTAAGCGAAGTATTCTGCGGATTCAGAATCACATTTGCAATTGGCTTACCAGTAGGAATAATGGGTGATATAAGACCAGTTTTAGACGCAAAGAGAAATGGTTCTGTATTGGACCGACTCTTCATATCAAGATCAAATGATTTCAAAGGCCTAGGTAAAGACAGGGCTCTGTCTGGTACTTTGTCAGATTTATCTACATTCATCCCAATTCTTCCAGAAAGAGATGTCTTCCTGAGGAAAAAGATGATTAAGTACGGCTCTTCGACGTTGTCATCGCCTTCGCATTCACTGACACTATTGTATCTGGCTTTCGTTAAGTTCGGGTATTTGTTATCACCAATGAGAGAATTTGCATTTTTAATATTCGCTGAGTTCATGTTGGCACCCAACTCTAGTAAAAAACTGTCTGCTTTAGTTTCATTTCTACTGTTAGTGTTCTTCCCTAAGAGAGTTGTCTTGTTTATCGGATTGACTAGATTAATACTATCCAGACTCATCGCAAAACATATATAGCTGCTTGAGTCCTGCATACTATGGAGTCCCAAGCAACACTCCATACCCACCCTAAAGAGCGCTGAGAGTTGGGTTACCTCATATGTTGACCAATCTCGGCCCTTTAAGTCGTCACAAAAGGGAAGGAAATCCATAAAATTCGACTCCGTTGTCGTTGGTTTGGCGGGGTTAGGAACTATTGTCGTGGTGACACTTTCAAAGCTCATCGGGGATTCCGCGACCTTTACTGCAGCTCCACTTTCGGGGTCATTGCAAGTAAATAAACCGCCTCCTTTCTTAATGAGGGATTGATCCTCTAGAACAGGTAGGTAGCAGCGGAAATTCGCGCTAAAATCACTGCAAGCGAGATTGTCGGGCGCCACACCGCCGAACAACGGGAGTGCGGCTTGATTTGCATATACAATGGGAAATGTTTCCACCACGTTTGGAAACGAGGATCGGCGGGAGTATGAAAGGGGGTTTGTCGCGTGCACGTCCGCTATGCTTTTGGACGCAACATGGGATATCTCTTGGTGCTCAAAAAAACTAGATCGGCTATGAGTATTCCCTCTGCGGGAGGCAGCCCTTGAGATGAATGTTACGCTTTCAGACTTTTCTATTTGAGGGGGGCAATTATCATTGTAGGAAAGTGGAGACTCCACATCTGACTTGTCAGAATCCTGTTGACTATGTCTAAAGACCGTGTCCAGTGGTGCTGTTGTTGAAAGTAAGAGAGGATCTATTCCACTACTGGTGCTGCTAAAGATATCGCGATTACTGGCTATAGCTGGTTGAAGAGCAGGGGAACCTTCGTTGGAAAATGCTAATAAATGTGAGTTCTTTATAATTATAGCAGGTATCACTAAGTCACCAATATTTTGGTGCGCAAAAAAGTGCAGTTGGTTGTATAGCTGTACGTCTTTGTTGACTCCAACAAAGTCCATTTGACCAGCGGAAGTGAATCCTTCGCACAGATTGGACGATATCTTATCCATAGATTCTTGAATGTGTGTCAGTGGTTGGCAGCTAGCTGTTCGTGGAAGGGATGAAACATAAGCTTTCTCAATGGATTCAACTAAATTGCATTCTTGGCCTAGACTCATTGGTGGATCAGGTTCAGTTGAAAAAGGGCGGTGTTCTTCGAAAGTTTCAATAACATTGGGTCTGACCTCATTACTATGATTCTCTTCATCACAGACTTTATAACAGTCAGATACATCTTGAGCGACTCCATTATTTTCATCACAAATGGGATTAGCAGGTAATAAGCAGGACTGCCCATCCTGGTCAAAGGTATTGCTAATTTCTTTTTCGTGAGATTCGTCCGATTTTGACATTTTCGAGCTACACAAATATATTAATGCTTTATTTTCCCAAAAAAATTAAACACATAAATATATTTAAAAGTTGCTTATAATACAGCTAAATAAGCTTTCTTGAATGTAGGATTTTGTTATGAATTATGATTATCTTCTAGTTTCGTCAAAAGCTTGAATTTGACGTAACTACACGAACAAGAAAAACAGTAGTAGTTTGTAATATATTTATATATTACAAAATTCAAGAAGCTTTAGAAAAGATAGACTAAATGTCAGCTGCTTTGCAATATTGTATTTACATACACAAGCATCAAGAAAAAAAAATTCAGGAAACAAGCACGCCAAACTTCTCCTAAGAGGCCAGATGGGAAAAAATTAATATTAAAACCTTGAGGAAATGAGAATTAGTATTTAAGAATATGTAATGGGTGTATGAAATCCTTTTGAATAACTAATTGGTGAAAAGACTCAATGTATATATTTGGAATCTCCAACTCTCTTTCTAAACAAAAAAAACGAAGAAATGAGAGGAAATCATCGGGGCATATAAAGAAGCGTTGTCTTGTACATACACCCCTCACCAATGTGAAGTATTAAAAAAAGGACATGTTTTTTTTGTCCCTACTTCACCTCCCATCCTTCTCCTCTGCGACGGAGAAGAAAGGAAAAATAAACCCGCTAAACAAAACGGATGCAGTGAGTTAGAACAATACGCTTTCATGTCATTATCACCATGGCATTAAAAAAGACATCATAGATGAATTGAGGGGGAAAACATCCGATCCAAAGAGGAAATTTCATACATAAATAGTTAAGTTGACACCCATTTAAGCGGTTTTTGATATTAGTCGTCAAGGAATAACTGAGGCCATGCAAAACTAAAACGCCATCAAAAAAATACTCAAGTTCCTGCCTGAGTCCTTCAGACAAAGACAAAAAAAAATAAATACATTATGGAAAACAAATAATTCACATAGTTTTAATTAAACCGAAGCCCTTCCAAATGTTGAAGTAGGAAGGTATTACATTCAGATCAAATGTGCAATGCGTAAATACGCATATATACATACACATATATATGCATATACTTATATATATATATATATATATATACATATAAATATATATATATATATATATTTATATATATGTGTGTGTGTATGTGTGTGTGTGTGTGTGTATGTATGTATGTATATATATGTATATATTTCGGGGTTCTACCACAGAAAAGCCATCAAATATATAATATGCAACAATTACAACATAATCTGTAGTAACTCCAGATACAAACATCCTTCAGTTATAAAGACATATTTAAATACTTTTGAGTTATTTATCCTTACAATTAAAGCGATTAGGCTAGCACAACAGTTATATCACAGTAAAAAAAATGTAGATGATATAAATGTAGAAGACTCATTCCCATTCAAAACTATTCATTGTTGTGCTCTTTTTTTTTTTAGATAAGAGCTTAAATTTCACGACACACACGCCAAGTCATTTTTTTATTCAACTCAGCTTTGCTCTGCATACTCATTTCATACGAACTATACTTTTCTGGAATGTTGACTGAGGAAATCGCGTTGAAGCTTCTGATGCAGTGTGTGCTTCTGTGGCAGGCAAATAGATTATGGGAGAGTAATTTTCCTCTTTGTAATCGTCCAAGACTAACCCCAAAGGTTCTTCATCGGTACAATTATTGTCACCTCCGTTGTTATGTTCGAAGGAAAATGGATTGCAATGTGAAAAAGATGCCCGAGATTCACCATCCATGCCTTGTCGGCACTGCGGTTGAGAGTCCATTCCGACGGTTTTACTGGTGTTAGAAAAAGTGATGTCTAAAGGCTTGATACCAGTGCCCTCGGCGTTGTTGATGCCGTTAATGCTGTTTATCATCAGCATCCCAATAGAAGGCGAAGCAATATCCCTCTGCGATAGCTCTGGAATGTAGCCACGACTGTCAAAATCATATTTCCCGTCGACCACATCGCGCATGCTGCTGAATAGCTCCTGGTTATCATAAAGTGGACCAAAGACGTCATTCTCAACCTGAATCGGCGTCGGTATCACATCCGGACCGAATGCCGACTCCAAAAGCAGCATCTCCTCTTTTTCTTGCTTAAACTCGTTGACATAGCGTGTGTTCGTGATGCTATTTTCTCTCTCATTCAAGCTAAAAGGAAACTGCGGTAGATGGCCTTCGTTTGAGTGGCAAAGTACGTTCTTGACCGCCTCTTTCAACCGTCGCGAGGCCACCGAGGAGGACGATGGCGTGTTGTAGCTATCCTTGTGCAGCGACACCGGTGGACCAAGCTGGCGCTTTTCACAAGCCTCCCAGTCAAAGCCGTTGAAAAAAGGGTGCTTTTTGAGCTGTGAGAGGGTCGTAATGCGCCGTGCGGGGTCTTTTTGCAGCAGCATCTGCAGCACATCCCGAGCCGTATCCGAGAGCACCACGTGCGTGGGGAACTGAAGGGCGGACTGCGTTATTGCCAGGTTCGTCTCGTGCTCGGTCTTCCGCAGGAAAGGAAAGCATCCCGTGATCAAGGTGAATAACACCACCCCCATACTCCACCAATCCGCCTCAAAGCCGTAACCATTTTCCTGTGAAAAGGCCGCATTAAGGACCTCCGGCGCGATGTAGGCTCGCGTGCCGCATCCGGTTCGTTGTTTAATAATGCGACCAGGCGGGTTGCCGCCCTGCGCGGGATATAAATCCTCCTCGACAGTGATTTTCTTTGCAAAGCCGAAATCGGTGAGCACGACGTGGCCCTCCACATCCAAGACGAGGTTGTCGCCTTTGATATCGCGGTGCACGATTCCGTGAAATCGCAAATGCTCCACCGCGATAGCGAGTTCGGCGATGTAAAAACGCACCACCGGCTCTTCAAAGCGGTGCCCCGGAGCACGTTGAGTGTGCACCAGGAGCTCACACCCGGGAAGGTAATCCAACAGGATGTAGACGCGACTGTCAGACTGAAAGCAGGCATGAATTTTCATGATGTAAGGGCAATCAAGCGACTCCAAAATCGCGCATTCGCGACGGATTTCAATGACGTTGCGAACCCCATGAAAGCATGTCTTACGGACAATTTTCATCGCGAAGAGCTTCCCGGTCAGCTTGTGCTGCACCAACAGAACGCGGCCGAAGGCCCCAACCCCGAGCATATCTATACATTTAAAGGCCGATGGTCCCACAGTGTATGAAATGCGATTCCGAATAAACGCGTAAACTGACTGCCGTGCCGCCGTCACCTTGAGGGCGTGTACGGCCGATTGACAGATCGTGACGAGCTCAGTTAGCCGCATAAACCACCACGCCCGGACGCCTACTTTTTGAAAAAGAAGGTGATGGAGAACACCCTTGTAGAGGATGCGTAGTGGGTACACGGTGATGCCAATCGCCTCATGCCCAGAAACATGGGTGAAGCCGTTGTGTTTACCCCACAAATTTTTCCCATCGCCGCCGCCTGGGGCGTCCTTCCGGTACGAAAAGGACCCCCCTCGCCTTGCGTAGGGGGTGGAATCCACCCCCGGGAGCCGCGCTTTCGCCTCGCCTGGAGGCGGCCGAACCGTCTGAGGGGGCATCCCAACGCCATTAGCCACAGCCCCGAGGTAGGTGCCCTCCCCGATCGGCGGTGGTGCGATGGGAAGCGTGAGCAAAGCGTTCTCCCCCTCAAGATTCCGCACGCGAACGACCTCGACGTCGACGTTATTGCTGCCCGAAAACGGCAGCGTCAACGTCGCGGTCGCGCCGCTGGGGTCGCGCTCGTTGTCGGGGACTAAATCCCCCCGAGGGGATTTCATCCCCGGGCGGGATGGCGGGATGTGGGGGCCGGTCGACCCGCCGCGGACCTGCCGCGTGGCGGGCACCATCGCCGTCTCCGTATCGGTCGGCCCGCTCACAATGGAGAAATCGCTCCAGGCGTTGCGCACGACATCGAGAAGTGCGATCGGGGTGCTCAAATAGGCCGGCGAGAGCCCCGTTTTCGAGGCCGGATCAACCCCCAGCATCGCAAAAGTGCTCGGGATGGCATCGTAGAGATAGATATACTGGCGGCAGAGAATTAGCATTCGGGTACGCAGTGGAAAGATGATATCGTTCCCCCCTTCCTCCTCATCGCTTTCTTTCTTCAGTGGATCAAAGGAAAGCGAACGATTCGCCAAACTCTTCGGGCGACCATTAGCGTCTTTGCCGATAGCCGGAAGGATCCTACCCTTGGAAGGGGATGCCTCATGTCCAGGATTATGCAGTGCTTGGAAATTCACACGGCTGGTAGTGGATGTATTTTGTGCATGTTCCGTGCGCTGGATGGGGATTGGCTGACTGGTATTTCCACCACTATGAGAATGGCCATAATCTCTCCCCGAATCGCCCAGAGCGAAGCTTCCTTTCGAACAGGCCTTCCCAACATACTCGGTAAAGTGAAGTACAAAACTGCGCTTCTGCACCAACAAGTCACTCAGGTGGTGCTTGACCACTTTGAAATTAGAGGGTGGGGTAATATTAGAAGGGTTTATTTTTTTCGTCAACGTGGATACAGGACTACCGAGAATGTTTACATGAAAACCATGTTGCGCCGCCTGAAGGGATAAAATATCATTCGATGCGGATAAGGTCGGATTGATGAAGTTTGAATTTTCATTATTATTCACCACCATCGTCTTCACTTTGAGCGTGTTGCCGCGACTCGAGTTCTTTTGGCGAGGCTGCGGTGTTGCTTGGATATTCGAATGGCTGGGGGAGCATGAAGAGAGAGAAACCATTGGGTCGATCTCATTATGGCTTCCTTGCTTAGAGGATGTCAGCAGATTGAACAGTGCCGAATTTTTTTTAAAGAAGACATACGACTGGCTGTATAGGATGTCATAGTTTGTTGAGACATGGTAATTTGAGGAACTGTCAATTGTCTTGGATAGACCTGTACTCGTACTTAAGGTATTGGTAGAATTTTTCATCTTCACTTGGGATCGATTGCCGACCGTGGAAGCATTCAGCCGAGCGCGGCCCTTCGTGACGGTGCTGACATTAGGCTTTGGAATACCGTGGCCTTCTGAGGTTTGATTATGCACGAGAGTGCTGCTTTCAACTTCGCTATCCTTCTTCAGTGATGAGTTTGCCTTGAATCCCAAAAGAGGCGCACCAATGCATCCCGAAGCGAATTGAAGCACCTTTCGTGCCTGTACTAAAGATGGCATAAAGTAAGTCCGCACCAGCTTCATCACAATAATCCAAATACTAGAATTGGCCAAACGACCAGAGGTAGAATTACAGCTCAACGCATTGCCACTCCGGGCTTCAGGGTTGGAAATGGGGATCGAATGATTGCTGAGGTTTCCTTGTGGGATAGCACCGGCACCTGTAGGGGCCTGGGGGTCCGATTCGGACGTTCGTAGCGGGCAGTTCCCATATTCCCCCGGGTTACCTGGGATCTGCGAGGAGAGCGACGATGGTGGTCCAAATTGGGCCGCCCTCTCCCCATCCTGCACATCCAGCGCGGAGACTATAAGCAGCATGATCATCACCGCCAGGTCGCCCTCCGTGAGGTGCAAATGCGCGAAGACCTCGCAAAGGGCATCCAACACCGCACCGCGATACAACCCG